AATTAAAATTCTACTCTGTAGCTGAATTGGAAATAATTCGTATATGTATTTTCCATATTCAGGTTTTCGACCATAACAACGACTCTGTTATCGACTTTGATGAAATCAAGCGAACTATGCACTTCCTAGGCGAGGCCGTCACTGATGAAGAGGTCCGCGCAATGATCCGAGAAGCCGACAGGGATCACGACGATTTAGTGGATTACGAAGGTTAGTGAATCCATTCAATCGTAAATCACACCCTTTCATTCTTTATAGGGGTAGATAAAATTATATTTAAAATTAGTAAAATGTGATAAGGCATGAAATATTTTATTAATAGAGGTTGATACTAAAAAATATCACTTTGGGAAATATTTGAATAGCTCTTATCTTATACTTTGGTATAACATCTTAACAGAAAAACCCTGATTTTTGTGTATCAATCATCATCTCTTTATATTTCTGGATGTTAAAACCACAGACTAAATATATTTAAGCGTAGTACACTTTTGATTATATTCTTTTTATTTCTTAACTTATTCTAATAATACAACAGTTTTATAACAATTCTTCCACGTAATAGAGCTACAAGTGCTCAAGCAAGTAGGTAGATTCAAAGTGTATCTACCTCCTTAAGTAGAGTACCTATTAAGGATTTTTCAAAACTACAAATATTACTGTCACTGAGAGAGCCTTTTGTTGAGTTACCTATTTTATATTTACTCATACGGTACTCAAACAAATTCAGCCTACTTTGCTTAAGCCTATATGTCCTTGCAGTAACTTCTTATTTTTAACATAGTTATTCTTATCCATTTGCACTACAGTTTCTGTTTTTATGATGAAGGGGAGAATGATTGGTGCGGTAGAGTTAAGCATACATGCTTATACTTATAGTTCCATAAAGGGTTCCAAACAATTGATTGAGAACTCAGACAATCGATGGCTATACGGTCGGACATCATAATGATTAACTAAGAAACAAAGGATGAAGTTTCTCTTTGAACACCACCAAGTGCGAAGTGGACTTGGTTTACTCTTGCAATTATTTCAAACGTCTCTTCGTATATTTTGATCGTTTATTTTAATAGACTTTAAAAATATTTAAATGCGGAATAAG